TATATATACTGTATATATATATTTAAAAAATATAGCATAAAATGCTAAGCTCTACATTTTATAACAGTTGTGTAAAAAGTGGGTTCTATCTTGATTAATGACATTCACTTTTAATCTGTTAGGCTTGACACATTCACATTTTAACAGTTCATGTACAGTAGGTTGTGCAGAGAATAGTGGGGTCATTGCTTAGTGCAAATGTGGCTTATCTGTCTGGATTGAGGCAAATTTGGAAGATGGTCCTACAGGGTCTATCATTGGCAAAATATGGACTAATTCCATCTTCAGATCATAATAAGGATTTCAAACACCTAGCAGGCTCCTGACCTGGAATTTGATAATGACTGTTCACATTCCTCAGTCATCATATTAATCTGTAAATAAAGGGTATATGGTGGGTATACCAATTTTAAACAACGTCTGTTTGTGTCTTGATAACGTTTGGTGATTTTGTCTAAGTAAAGAATCATTTTGGGTACAGATTTTGAGACTGATAACAACTAATCATTGATTTATCAAGACTTTTCTTCCTTTAGCCTTCAAAATTGAAGGGGAGTGGTGCCTCAAAGTGGTGTTAACATTAATACTTTAATAATTCATAATTTGATGATGATGATGATGATGATGATGATGATGCCTTTATTGTCATTGTACGGAGCACAATGAAATCACATTTATCAGTGAAATTTATCATAATTTATACGTAACCATCCCTACACGCCTACGATTCAGCAAATAGATTTGCTTTGGTATTATCTGCATCCATTAAATAGTTATTGCAGTCTAGGCACCTGCCCTTGCAGGACTCGAACTGCTTCAAAATGCAGCTGTGTTGTAGAACACCATGCCATGGTAACATGACTCTGCTGCAACATGTAGCTGTCCTTTGGTTTTATCGTGAACTTGACAAAATCACTGTTGTGGTCAAGAAAACCTGTGTGGTTAATTCTTGCTCTGAAGTCTTAATGACCAAGTCAAGCCAGTGCACGTGGGCCTCATGTCATGAATATGCTGCAGCACAGACAGACAGACAGACAGACAGACAGACAGACAGACAGACAGACAGACAGACAGACAGACAGACAGACAGACAGACAGGCAGGCAGACAGACGCGACCAAAAACATTACCTCGTCCTTGGCGGAGGTAATAATTTAAATCCAGCTGCAAATTCTCTCATTGCAGTTGTCCAACATTTTCTCAACTCACCAAGTAGTTATAATTTGACATATCTCCGGTCCATTTTGTTTATCAGACTGATGAATCCCAGCTCAACAGCTTGGCTCTCTGTGTTCACAGGCATCACGTCCTTAGCCAAATAATGTGAAATGGCCTTGGTTATTTCTTTCAACCATTTTCATGTTTTCTCATAAGGAGTTTCACTTGAAAAACTCTGATACTGATGTCTGTTGGACTCTTCCTCATGTTTGCAATGTTTTGGTTTTGCTAGCGCTAGCTTTTTGGAACTCTTCATAGGTCTTCATGGTTGGACTGAACGTGACAAAAGAGATGTTTCCTCTCATGGTTATCACTATTGTTTTGGAATGTCTTGCCGAGTAGGTGAGATCTATCTAAGATCTATCTGTGTTTGTAGAATGTTGTCTCTCTTGAAACCAAAATATCTCCAAATAAGAGTCATGGTATTTTTTTAACCATGAGTTCTTTGTTGCTAACAGTTTCCTCATTTGTCTTGCTGTCAGCCATGGTGACTCTCTCTAAGCTTGCTCATTTGATGCCATCCACCCCTGTCTACGTAAAGGATGGGCATCTGATGTAAAGAAAGCCTTCCAATTGGCCATATACATGAAGGGCTCCATTTGATTGGTCAAATACTTTAAGCTACCATGTGATTGATAAAATGCATAAATGCAAACACTTGAGCCAATCATTTATTGCAATTTTTTTGCTATATGCCTATTGCATTAGTTGTCATGCAATTACGTTAAATGTTCGATATATTGTGCATCCCTGCTTGATTTTCAGGGTTTGAGAATTTAAAAAGAGCTCAGTTCAGTTCTATAGATAATGGTGAAGCCAAAAGTTTAAATTAGTACAGGAGATGGATTCCTGCATGTACGCTGAGCTGCTCAATCATAAACTCAATCCATTACAGAAAATCAGCTCACGTGATTCCTTTTCTCCATTCACCTGCAAAGTGATACCAGATGAAGACTTATGGTGCTCAGGGGACTGCTTTCTGCAAGGCAATGATCGAATACAGACATACATACTTACAGAAACCACATTCACACAGGTGGCTGAGGACATCTGTAACGGACCACTGATAGAGCCTCAGCTAACATGTCATCGAAATTTGTGTGAATGAAATTTATTTTTATAATAGCAGTTGAAGATAAAACTATGAAAGTGAAAATAAATAATAAAGACAGAGATGTTTAGATAATATTTGTGTCAAATAGGAGGCATAATGTGTTATTTTTGCTTTGGATATTGTTTAATTATAACTACTTTTATAGGGTTCTGTATGTTACAGTCATGATTAAATACAGCAAAATAAACTAATTCAAAGGTAAGAGATCTTTGTAATACTTAGTTTATTTACATAACTTTAATTGCTGGATGTTCGGCCCCTGAGCTGTTGACCTGCATTAACTGTGGCCCCCGGAGCAATTTAGTTGAACAGCCCTGGTATTTGCTGATGTATCTGCAAAGAGCGAGACAGACATTGTCTAAAAAGTTTTTTTATTGGTTTATTTTGCTCTACATTGGATGTTTTCCATGGGCTGCAAGCTAAGGCTTGGGCACAAGCACAGACACCCCCCCACCCCCACCCCCCAACACATCAGTGCCACAATTGAGCCTAATGTATGAACTGAATATTAAAAGGTTTTAAAATATATATTTCAGGTTCAACATAATTTACACTATTTACAAAATTAAAAACACCTTGCAATAATACTTTTTTAAAAATAAATTTCAAATTGATTCAACAAACTATATGTCTAATTGTGAGGTGGGCAAAACACAAAATGCCTCACAAAATAAGACTTTCCCTTGTGTACCCACAGAGCCACATGGATGCTCATGACTACATTTGTGCACACTCSGCATAGAGGCTGGGAAGAAGATGAGTGTGAAAGAAAATAGAAAAAAGAAAAAGTAAGTAAAATTCTTCTTACAATGCAAAGCATTTCCATTAGACAGTGGACTGCTCTAATAAGATGCTTATCAGAATGAGAATCTCAGGAAACTGCTGGCTATTTATTTTACCGAGGCTGCTCGTTTTTCTCTCAGCTCTTGATAAAGMATTTTGTTTTAATTAGACATTTCCACACTCCACCAGGGATGACCTCTTATTATTGTAAAGTGGGCCTGCTTAGCAGAGCAAGCAGTCGGGAACAAGCTCCTTCGTGCATCTCAATCATTCCTCATCTGCGCTCATCTCAGGAGCGTCGGACCAAATCAAAGGAGTCACTATTAAGCAGAACAAAATTGTTTAATGCAGTAATCTCCTGCATATTTTTCATTGCTTCTCCATTTGCACTTGAAAATGAGGCGTGCTGAAAAATATGATGCATTGTTTTGCATACTAACAAGGAACCTTGAATATATCCTTCACAGTTATAGAGGAGCAAATACAAGAACAAGAAACACATTTTCTGAGTCACAAGTGGGAGAGAATCACCTTATCTGTAGGACCTAAAGCAATCGAGGAAAATCTAGACTAGATGTGTTAAGTTCTRTTACTGTTCCTTCTTGGCTCATTGTTTGATCCTGGCAGTTCTCTGTACTGAGGAGCATGTTTTCTGAAATGAAACATGATTTTAGGCTTTAGAGCAGCGAAAAGTACAGCATTCTCAATCAGCAAGCAGCATCTGCTACTCTTTGCTTTGCATCAATGTAAAAACAGATGACACATTTAGCTACCAGCTGTACATGAGTGAGGGAGAAAGACTGAACGATATATCAATGAACTTTTTTCTTGGTAGGCTCCTATCTGACATTTATCTGAATGGGCTTTTTGACCAAGCAAGTGCTAGTATTTCTTACCTAATTTTATTTGGTCACTTCCAACCCTAAGCGAAGTCAAGGAAAAGGATAGATGGAGGGCAAAGCAATTATTTCCAGCGGTACATGCCATCACACTTGATCCCTTTGGTGTGAGAGGAAGAGGGCTGTGAGGAAGAGGATGACACTGATTAGAGCTTACCAGCAGCTTGAGACCTGCTCTACTTCAGACAGGGATTTAGATCTGCCTGCCTGCCTGTCCATAAGGTATCATGCAATCACAGAGACACCTTAATCCAACTTGGCCTTTCACTTTGGTTGCTGGTGATTCATCCAGATATAAAATGTAAATGGAGAATCGAAGATGTCAGATGGGGAAATCCCAGCCTCACAGTCTGATTTAGTCATGTCACAAGCTGAAAAAGAAAAGTGTGAACTGAAGGGCTTTGTGTCATGATCAAAACATACTTGCATGTCTTCATGTCATCAATACAATCCCATAAAAACATGGAGAAAAAACAAGTTTTAAATTTTTATCCTGGTCTTACGCCTATTTCATGGCTGAGACAAGCAAATGGCCAGACCCAATAAAAATAGCCAATTTAATGATATAAATCGAGAGATTTATATCATATAAGATTACATGAAAAGATCATATCCACTATGAGTTCAACCCAAGAAACTGCAAGAAAAAACACAAACGGAAGAAGAAACGATGATGGCAAAGCAGGTCCAAAGCGGCCTACATGCTCTGTGCTGAGGAAGCTCAGATTGGAGATACAGCCCAGAGGAGGAGCTAATCCCAAAAGGTGGTTCTAGTCCCAACAGGCCATTTTTGCTCCCCTGCCTGGCTGCCTCAGGACATCACAGGATTTCTCAAACATGCAWGAATGAGTCAAAGCAAGACTCTGGGCACGTTTTTGATGAGAGGATAACATAACATGATATAAAGCTAAAAAAAACGTTGATTATACATGATATTGCCCCTTTAAGCTTGAAAGAACACATTGAGCCGTTGGCCCAAAGAAAAGTGATCCCACTAAGACAGCACAGTTGATGATCATAGTCCGCTTTTTGGGTTTTAAGGTGAGGCAGACAGTTCTAAATGTAAAGGAATGTTCAGTTTCAAGGAAATAAAATGTATTTTGATCATGACTACTCAGCTGAAGTGCAGAGGAAAAGGTAGAAGGGTCCGGAGGTTATAAAACAACCCAAAGTAAAGAACCTCAGAGCCCAGTCACCATACCCGGCCCAAATGAGAATCTACTTTGAATCAGGCACCAAGCAATTCCCCTCACTACTGGAGGCACAGCCAACCCTGAAAGAGCTAGGAGTGGAGACGTTAATACAGTAGAGGAGGGCAAGCTGGAGAGAGAGAGAGCTCGAGAAAGTTAGACAACTCAGAGTGGGAGAAGGAAGAAGCAACAGTTAATTATGGCAGAAGCTAGATATTGCTTAGAGGTAGCGTGACTCCAGCACGGACGCAAATCACCAATGCACCAGAATTCAGAACCCACCGGAACAGATTTATTGTTTTGGGTTGGGGTCCGGGGGGTGTGAGGGGCTCGTTGGTGGGCTCTATGGATAGCCTGTGATCAGAGCTAAACAAAAAAATCTGAAGCTCCTATCTTGAATAGTTTTTGAGTTATAAGCATTTTTGCAAGTCCAGACACCCCCTTTTTAGATGGAGCCCCCTCCTCAAATATGCTGTCTATCTTGAAACCATTGGCTGGTTGAGTGTAGGTCAGACATATCTACATTCCTGCTGTTCATGTTGATCTGTGCAGCCATTTCCATGATATGGTTGACCAAAAATCACTGGAAAAAATATGAACAAACACGTGTGGGGATCATAATAAGGGCTATCAGTGAAGTTTAGTGTAAAAACCTTTCCACTAGTTTCTCATTGCATGGTTATGGTTATTTATATGATATTTTGCTGGTTTTAACAGTAAAATTACAGCTTTTTTCAGCATTTCTTTATTATTTATTCAAGAGTAAGTTACTATAATGTTTTTTTTACAGTAAAATGTCTATTCAGAACAGCACTGTACTCTTAAATTAAGATTATTGTTCATTTACAAAATAATAGGGGCCGCTGTGGAAGACTGGTTAGGGGAGTCATCTTGTAATTGGTTGGTTGCCAGTTCGATCCCCCCATTCCATTTGTTTCCGTCATGTCTTTGGGCAAGACACTCCACCCATCTTGCCTACTGGTGGTGGTCAGAGGGCCCCTGCTTCTATCAGTGTGGCTATGATTTTGCCTAGCACCATCAGTGTGTGAATGTGTGTGAAGGTGATATTCAATAGGTGAATGATTGAATGATATATTCAAGCCATTTACTTTTAACAATGCATTCTGTGAAATGTTACAATACTGTAAATGAAAATACAGTAAAATGCTGTCTTTCAGTAAAAAATACAGCAGCTTCCATCTTTAAATGACAAGGATTGGATTGGTGATAGTTTGTTTTTTATAATTAATTTTTTCTTTAAGGTGAATCATAATATATTTTTATGTGATATTTTACATTTTTTCAGTATTATAAAGCACATTGGGTATTGTGATTTTCTTGCAGTAGTGCAAAATGTCAATGTCTTCAGATTAGCTTATCTCTCTGCTCTTACCTCTGAAACCTGTTTTATCTTGCAATTAGTATTATGTTTAAAAGCAACATCCGGTTAACATCCAGTTAAAAAACCTTTTGAAGAATTTACTCAATTTACTTTTATGTTGTCATTTTGTTTACAAATATTAACTTGTTTCTGTTTTAATATAACTAGTGTTAAAATAGATATCTTTTAGGAGATTATTAAATTTATATTAACAGCAGTATTAACAGTCAGTTGCCAATGCTTTTTGAAAAAGACATAAGAACACTGACTGGACATGGCAACGCACAGGGAGGATATACTTTTTGTCCATCTATCCATCCATCCATTCATTCATCCATCCATCCATCCATCCATCCATCCATCCATCCATCC